TACTATTGGGGAGGAAGTTTCACCACCTAGCTCCAATGCCCTTTTATGCGTAGTCATATACCCAACATTAGAAAGATAAATAACAGTATGTTGTCATAGATAATGTGCATCAAGTCTTTACACTTACCTCCTAGTGTTTGTCATGCGGTCGCTTTGTTAGAGCTGGTGGTGCAATATTTGGTGGGTCTGTTTGTCGAGCAGGTGATGATAGTTGTTTCTTGAGCACCTTCAATCTGTGATTGCTGGGTAGAGACAGTTGTTGTGGCAGTGCTTTTCTTTTCTTTGCTCTCTTGGGCTTTGGTGGTGCATCAGAGTCATAAACAGTTTCATTACAGGTCTTCAACATGTGACCAAACCCTCCACACCTCTTGCACTGGCGCTGGCTTTTTTGCTTGCCACCTTCTTCAGAACCTTTTATCCTTCTTGATCTGAGCCGACCTGCAGCTCTCTTGAACCTTGGAGGCCAAAGTTTGAAACCCAAGTCCACATCAGGCCACTGGTTCCTATCTGTCATGGGACTTATCACATGTTCATATGCTTTCTTGAACTTATCAACCGAATAATAGTCATCTATGTAGTCTTCCACACTTCTATTGCGCATGGAATGGATGAAGCAGAGAGCATGAGTACATGGCAATCCAGTAATCTGCCACCTTTGACAGCTGCATGATCTATTATCAAGGTCAACAGTATGCCTCCAGGTCTTCAGTTCCTTTGTAGTGCCTTGAATCTCAGCAGCGTTGTTGGGCCCCCTATGTATGGCATACTATAAATTCCTACTTATGGCATGCAGCTCTTTGGTGACATGAGGCAAGATCTTGTCTCTCAGCTTAAGTGACAGTGACCTCCTAAGGTCTTGTTTCTCCATGATCATTTGCCTGATCCTATCCAACAGAGGAATTAAAGCTAAGGACTTCTCATTCCTAATCCAACTGTTGAAGGTCTCTGCTATGTTGTTAGTAACATAGTCACATTTGCTTGCATGAGAGAACTTCCATCTACTCCATATGTGCTTGTGGTTGTCCTCTATCTAGTTCATTGCCCTTGGTGAAGCTTGCTTCATGATGTTGTAATGGTGATCAAAGTGCCTCTGGTTGTAAGCTCTGCTTGCTGGCCACAAATGTTTCTTGAACACTACTCCTCTATACCTCTTGTTAAAATTCTTCACTAGATGCCTCATGCACTCTCTATGCTCTACTCCACATTCTATAGTTGGGTTTTCTAAGTTAGTAGCATGCTCATTGATCTCACAACCAGCATCATCATCAACATACAAATCATCATGAACAAGAGAGTCAGAGTCAGTATCCCCCTCTGATGCTTGTTGATCTTGCTGTTTTGGCATATAATGGCCCTCATCATTGACCCCAACATACTCCTCAACATCTTCTTCCCATGAAACATCATCATCAGCATGCTTCTTCTTGCTTCTTCCTTGAGTAGGTGTGGATTTTTCAGTTGAGTCATCAGAGTTAGAAGAGTGAACACTGTCATCATCACTTTCTCCCCCACTAAGTGACTCCACATCGGCCTCACCTCCACTAGGCCCAACAGTTTCAACAATCTGATTGTTCTGCCCATCATCATGACCAAGCAGAGGGGGACAGCAATGGGAGAGCAACAGATGCACTGGCCTCATTATCCAAAGACACACTCTGACTATATGCAATAGGAATCATGTCATAAAAATTCACAAACAAAGGTAGCCACCTTAGGTACCAATAATTGTTAGTAGCATCCATCAAAGCTGCATCTGAGGTCAGATTGATATAGCATTGGGTGTTCTTGTCAAAATATGTCAAATTGAAGCCCTGATTCTTCCCAATAGACACTTTGGCAGCTACATCCTTACTTAAATCAATCAGATTCAGAGTGCCCCTATCAACAATGAGCTGAAAATCTGCTGCATTGTGAGCCACATTTCTACCGTCATCGCAAGCCTCATAGTAACATGGGACACGCACTGCTATGCGTAATGCAGAACTACTGTCCATCCTAAAAAATGGACAAGAACAAGAAATCATGAAAACCCTAGCTTCGGATGCGCAAATCGACCCCCAAGTTCACTGCAACCCTGTTAACCAACCCCAGATCGAAAAGTGGAAGAGGATAAGAGTGCATACCCCTCAGGAACCCATGACAGATTCACTCCCTTGGACGGTGAATCTATGCTCGGGCGGAGCCGCTTCGATTTCGCCGGCGAAGCCATCTTCATGCATCCATGGCACGCCGACTGTGGGGAAGAGATGGCGGTGTGGGCGGCAGGAGCCGGCGGCGTGGTTGGCTGGAGACGGCGGCGCTGCGGGAGACTGGAGACGACGGTGTGGGTGGCTGGAGACGGCGGCGCTGCGGGAGACTGGAGACGCCGGCGCTGCGGGAGACTGGAGACGCCGCCGGCTAGGGTTGGATAGAGCACAGGGTCTGGTTCGACCAAGTAGTGGTCCGGCTCGACCAACAGGGTCTGGTTCGACCAAGGGGCAACGCTGATCATTTTGGAATGTTTCTCTCTCCCGATTGCTGTTTTTCTTATTTTAATGGAGACGATGTCCACTGGCAAACATTCGCGATTTCATAATGGTACTCAGCAAAAGCAAGTATTGACGGTGTGTTGCAGCCAATTTGTTGTTTTCGTGATGTCCCACAGCAAAAATTGCCTATAATCTAATGCCATATGCCATGCCACCTCTTCCGGCTTGCTTCGGGAAAGAGGGTTTTTTCTCCCAGTCGGGCTGCTTAATTAGGGCAAGATATGGACGGATCGAGCGGAGCAGCAGTTTCAATTCTGCGCAAGCGCAACGCCGTCCAGTCGTTTCGTTCGTACCACCACTCACCAGAGCCAGCTAGCTCCAACGTAACGCCGGAGACCGATGAATGAACAGGGGGATCTAATCTAGCAGAAGCTAGGCACTGAAGGATTGCACTAGCAGTCCCGGCGTCGAGCACGCCTCCTCTCTGCGATTCGGGAAACCCGAGCCTTTTTCGTGTTTTGCCAAACCCGGCAACGTAATCCGGCCTCACAGGCACAGGCAATAGCATCACGTCAGTACGTGCAGTTGCTACTTGCTAGTAAGTTACCGCGCTGTTAGTTAGCTAGTTATAATTGTTGTTGCCTCTATCTATATGCTGAGAACACATGCACGTTTATATATGTAACAGCGCGTAGTATACATGTGATAACAACGGGAATAACAAGCATACATCCATCTAAACTTGCTTCACATGCACATTTGTTACGAGAGAGTACTTATCAAGGCTAGCAATACTAACACTGGAATCACCATGCATGGCATGACCAGTCGGCAGATTTTGGCAAGTTGAAAATGGTACACAAATTAAGCTGGATTTTGCTGCACGTACTAAATATATAAAACGTCCGGAACGGAACGGGTTTCTTATATTCAGTTTATATGAACTGCACATTACCAGTTTTTGGAGACACAAAACACACGGAGAGCAAAAGGAGAGGCCATAAACCAAAAGGCTTTAAGAATATATTAAAGATGTCTAAATGGCTATATATGGTTAAGCAAGATAGCAGGTTCTGCTCATCAGTTGTAGTGGCCTTTTGTCCCTGCTGTGCCATCTCGCTCTCGCTCCTCTCCTCTTTTTCTCTCCTGCTGCAGCCTTGCTTCCGATCCCATCCCACTCCCCTACCCTTTCTTTCCCTTGCGCGCATTGCCTGTCCCGCCGGCTATTAAACCCCCTCGCGCTGTACGCAGCAGGGAGGTATCAGGTATCGGAGGAACCAAAGTAGGAGTAGAGCTCCCTTTCCTAGCTTCATTGCAAGTCCAAGAAACTGCTACGTACAGAGGAACAAGGTAGAGTAGTATCGCTTTTCCATCTAGGTTATCTCTTTACATGCTAAAATTTTCAGCCGTATATTTCATTTCTGCATCAGTTCTGTGATACATCTTGTGATCCGGTATGTGGTTTCAGCTAGCTGATCGAGATCGATCTCGTTTGAGGAAAGAACTCCCGTTTTCTGTGCTTCGAGTTCTTGCAAGGTAATAATTATAATAAACCATGCCGGCTTCTGCTTACTGCTTGGATGATGCTTCTTTGTTTACACTTGATTTCCGTTTTTCTGCTTTCTATATGTATGTATAGTACGTATCTTCTGGGCTGTCTTTCCCTGCGTTACTAAGCTTTGCAAAGGTTTCAACTTTTTGCTTCTGTGATGAGATTTCTGCTCCTAGTAGCAGGCAGCAGCTCGATGACTACTAAATCTTTGATCTTTTATACATGGGCGAGGAAAAGAAAAAGGCAAGACGCTATATATTCAGTTGCGGCACACATATATCCAGCTCCCGGCTGCTTCTTGCTTTGTGATAATTCAACTTGCCCTGATTATATTCTTGCCTACCTAGAATTGTCTAAAGTTTGTTTGCTAGATTTTGCTGCTTCTTTTCGCATCTGATCCTTTATCTTCTTCTGAGCGATCCACGTGTTCTTCCAGTTCAAGAAGCTGGAAGAAGATGAGCTTTCTCTTCAAAGAAAAAGAAGCAGCTCCTTATTATTGTCCATCTCATTGCTGTTTGTTGTTGTTTCGTGTTTTTTTAGCTTCTTTTCCCCCATCTACCGAACGAACGAACTTGTAGACCTTGTGTTCTTGTGGCTGGTTTCGTTTACATGATCGTCTTGCCCAGCATCTGTGCTCTTTTCCGGCCGAGACTGATCGAGTCTGCCAGGCATCGATCTGTCCAGTCGTGAGTTCGTGACATCCGCTTTTTCGTATATATCTTCAGAGTTTGTCCATCTGTCAAATCATGGAAAATTTGTCATCTTTGCGTGTATTCTCTTCTGTCATTTCTGTCGCCTCGGGCGGATGAATTCTTGAATCGATCCGTGTTCCTTTTCGCTTTACACCCCATGAAATTGTTTGGCGTAGTGTTCCTTTTCCCTTGATCTGCTTCAGATTTCAGATAATATATATAACTTGAATTCTCTTGCTCTCATGAGAAAACTAAACTTGCTGGCTGCTTTCAGCTGAGATCGCCAGCATGGGGAGGGGAAGGATTGAAATCACGAGGATCGAGGACAACACGAGCCGGCAGCAGGTCACCTTCTGCATATGCGCCGCAACGGGCTCCTCAAGAAGGCGTATGATGAGCTCTGCGCTGTCCTCTGCTACGCCGTGGTGGCGCTCATCGTCGTCTTCTCCAGCCTTGGGCGCCTGTACGAACGAGTACGCCAACAGCAGGTGCGACCGCCTTTCTTGCATATTGGTAGCCAGTAGCCTCTGGTGTGAATGCTTGATTCTTTCAGCAAGCATGCGTGCTGTGTCAACGTTAATATTTCATGCTCAAGTGATCGACTTGCCACTGTTAAACCTAAAACCTGCCTGACAAACACAGCAGGTTCCCCTCATATAAATTTGCCACTGTTAGTTAGTTTGTATTGTTTATATTATCGTTGCCTCTAACATGCATGTCTGTATACATGTAAAGCACGTAAGTGTGGTAGATAAACAACGGGAACATGCATGCATGTGTGTACATACATGCATGTGTGTATACATGTAAAGCACGTAAGCATACATCCATCTGAACTTGCTTCGTCATTAGTGCACACTTGTTACAACTAGTCCTTATAAAAAACTAGCACTAATTAACACAGGAATTACCATGCATGACCAAAACGCAAATAAGTGCATATATTTTTTGGCAACAAGATGATAAGGCCACCAAATTAAGCTGGATTTTGCTGCACTGATTAAATAATGTGTGTATAAGACGGTCCTGAATGAATCGGAACGGTTTCTTATTAAGTTTATATATATACTGCACGACTGCACATTACCAGTTCTCTTGCTGACACGAAACACACGGTGAGAAAAAGGAGAGGCCAGAAATCAAAAGGCTTCAAGAATATATATGTATATATGGTGATGTCTAAATTGCTATTTATGGGTACAGCGCTAGCTGGTCATCAGTAATAGTGGCCTTCTGCTCCTATCCTCTCTTTTTAGATCTCTCCTGCTGCTGCCTTCCTTCACGTCCCATCCCTTGCCTTGCATATTCATGCACCGCCTCTGCCTGAGTGGCTCGTGGCCTGCTATTACCCCCTCACACTGCAGGAGGAATAGTCCAGGTGTCAACGTACAATACCATGTTGAGCTCGTACGTACAATGTGCACTGTGCGATTGTGCGAACCAAAAATGTACCCCCTCGCGTCAAGTCATAGGTAATAATAGTTTGAAGCATAGAAGAACTAAAGTTTGGAAAAAAACTGAAACATAATGGACCACACTGGTCGTCTGGGTGAAATTTTAGGTCATTCAACATGGAAATGTTTCTGAAAGCTTTTGAAAAATCTAACAAGATTCTAGGCGTAGCAACTGTCAAGAAAGGCCTACTGATGTGTTGCAGTTGCAGTTTCTGCACGACGCGCACTTCTTACGTGTTTCTATAAACATAAATCTGTTTTTTTTTTTTTTTTTGCAAAGATAAATCCATTTTAAATTTGTTTACCAGAAAGCTAGATTATGCCGTTTCAAATCTGGGGTTTATTAAACAATAATATCCATATTTTAATTACCACTTGAAAGTCTGTCACAAACACTTAGAAAGAGGTGAGCTTGACGAGACCTACTACTCTGCAAGTGATGATTTTTTTTATCTAAGATCATTTAGGCTGCGTTCGTTTGGCAGGGAACAGTGTCTAGGAACCATTTCTACCAGAAATGCTGGTGTAATTTGTATAGTCAATCCTCACCGAGAATTATTCCTGGCCAGGAATGGCCATGAACGAACGAGCCCTTAGGAATCTGAATATACGTTTTAATATCTTTGCACAGAATCCCCTATTAGAGTTTCCGGGAACCTACAAATAATATCCCGTTCAAAGAAAAGAGATCGCCCAAAGCTATACAAAGGTCTAGTCTAATAATTGTATAGGATATATGATACAGAGGTCTAGTCTAATAATTGTATAAGATATATGATGCATGTTTGATGCTTCACATATATCTCAAAAGGGCCAAAGACATTTTTATCCGACACTCGAACTTTGAGCTGTTGCACTCAGCATCTTGTTGATACGATGTGTGGCTCAGAAACAAATTAGAAATGAAAGTTGTTTTATCATCCGTAGCTCTAGTGAGTAGCTAGTCACTACTGGTCCGGAGTACGTACGTGTCTGGAACCAGAGTAACGGGCTGGTTGGGGGCCGGTGTGATCGGTCATGTATCTAGCTAGCTAGAGCTACTAGGCACAACGACAGTGGCACAGGGTAGTGGATGCCAAGCTGGGCTCCAGCCCCCCTTGCTCGGCGCTTCTGCTACTCCTGTAGGAGTATGCACCTAAACTCTCGTAGTATCAGTCGTCAACATCAGCTTCCGCTGAAAAGGCACGACTCCCGTAGTCCTTTTTGCAAAGGGTACAAGGCTGCAAATTGTACCGGACTGCAAATGTATTTTACTTTTTTTTTTTAGGAAAGCAAATGTATTTTACATGGATCCACATATACTAACATCAGCTTCCGCTAGAAATCAGGCACGACATTTTCGTAGTCCTTTTTGCAATTATTGTCCAATCATGGCCTGCAAAAAATTGTACCGGACTGCAAAAACTGTATTTTACTTTTTTTTCTACATTTAAAGCAATATGTATTTCCAAAGATTTGATGTGATGAAAATAGAGTGAAAAAACTTGCAATCTAAAGAAGGCCTAATAAGGGCTTTGACAACTAACCGAAAACACAAGTAATAGGCATAGCTGTGTCAGCCTCCAACATCGGCGCACGGGCACTGGATACTGCCGGCCGCACTCCACCGCGGCTGACACAGGGGGTGCGGGAGGCGGCCGTAGCCCGCGAGAGGGAGAGAGGCAGGAACGACTAGGGGCGTGATTGCTCAATAATGATCTTCCTCTAGTCCTGGTGCGTGGCACTGAACAATATTCGTTTGCACGTTCATATAAATAGAAACACATGCATAGACAAGATGCACTATGTGAAATATAAATATTACAAGAAGCTCAACCAAATATTTTAAAGTTTATTATGTGGTAAAGAGCATAGCTTCTTTGATGTGATATCTTGTTTTTAATTTATTTTATCGGGCATTCGTTTAACGACACAAGTATTTACTAACTACATACAGATGCAGCAGGTCACCTTCTGCATGCGCCGCAACGGGCTCCTCAAGAAGGCGTATGATGAGCTCTGCGCTGTCGTCTGCTACGCCGTGGTGGCGCTCATCGTCGTCTTCTCCAGCTGCGGCCGCCTCTACGAACGAGTACGCCAACAGCAGGTGCGGCCGCCTTTCTTGCATGCATATTATTGGTAGCCTCTGGCCGGTGAATGCTTGATTCTTTCAGCATGCGTGCTGTCATCGTCATTAATATTTCATGCTTAATTAAGTGATCCGCTTGCCACTGTTAAACCTCAAACCTGCATGACAAACACAGCAGGTTCCCGTCATATAAATTTGACTTTGATTATGCCAATGTTAGTTAGTTATATAGTTGTTGCCTCTATCTATGTGCTGAGATATAGGAGTATATAGAACATGCATGGTGTGTATATACATGTAAAGCACGTAAGATATATATATATATATATATATATATATATATATATATATATATATATATATATATATATATATATATATATATATATATATATACACACACACACACACACACACACACACACACACACACACACACACACACACACACACACACACACACTACATCCATGTAAACTTGCTTAATTAGTACACGTTTGTTACAAGTAGTCCTTATCAAAAACGTAACTAGCACTAATAACACAGGAATTACCATGCATGATCAAAACGCAAATAAAGTGCATATATATTTTGGCAACAAGATGATACAGCCATCAAATTAAGCTTGATTTTGCTGCACTGATTAAATAATGTGTGTATAAGACGGTCCTGAATGGATCGGAACGGTTTCTTATTCAGTTTACATATATACTGCACGACTGCACATTACCAGTTCTCTTGCTGACACGAAACACACGGTGAGAAAAAGGAGAGGCCAGAAACCAAAAGGCCGGCTTCAAGAATATATATGTATATATGGTGATGTCTAAATTCCTATACATGGAAGCAGATAACAGCGCCAGCTGGTCATCAGGGATAGAGTGGCCTTCTGCTCCTATCCTCTCTTTTTAGATCTCTCCTGCTGCTGCCTTCCTTCACGTCCCATCCCTTGCCTTGCATATTGATGCACTGCCTGCCTAAGTACTTTACCCCTTCACACTGCAGGAGGAATAGTCCAGGTGTCAACGTACAATACCATGTTGAGCTCGTACGTACAATGTGCACTGTGCGATTGTGCGAACAAAAATGTACCCCCTCGCGGCGGCGGCGTCGTGGTGGTGGTGTATATATATATATATATATATATATATATATATATATATATATATATATATATATATATATATATATGATGTGGTAAAGAGCACGGCTGAACAAACCGGATATGGGATAAGCCGGATATAGTCATAAGTAATAATAGTTTGAAGCATAGAAGAACTAAAGATGGGAAAAAACTGAAACATAATGGACCACACTGATCGTCTGGGTGAAATTTTAGGTCATTCAACATGGAAATGTTTCTGAAAGCTTTTGAAACATCTAACAAAATTCTAGGCGTAGCAACTGGCAAGAGAGGCCTACTGATGTGTTGCAGTTGCAGTTTCTGCACGCACTTTGTGTTTCTATAAACATAAATATGTTTTTTTTTTGACAAAGATAAATCTATTTTTTAATTTGTTTACCAAAAAGCCTAGATTATACCTTTTCAAATCTGGGGTTTATTAAACAATAATATCCATATTTTAATTACCATTTGAAAGTATGTCACAAACACTAAGGCCTGGGTCTATTTTTTTGGCCCGGTCCCAGGCCTAGGGTTCGTCCGCCATTTTATAGTGTAAAATAGGTAACATAAATATTTGGGCTGGGCTCGGACCGAGAGGGGCAACGGGATTTATGCCCGGCCCTGTCCACTAAGGCTTGTGGATGGGCCAAACCTAGTGGGCTCGGGGTCGGGCCCGTGGGTCAGGCTAGGCTCAATTTACTCATGTCTACTATATATTAACCATTTCTAATGCTTTTTTCCCTGTCCTTCAAATCAAATTCAGGTGATTTCCTCACCAATGAAGTGGACGCCCTTTCGGACACTTCTGGTTGGAAGCTTTCTCCTTTGGTCTCTTCTGCCAGTGGAGTCGGTTAGCGACTGGGAGTTCTACTGCGGGAATGAGACCTTTGGAAAGAATGGTCACTATGAGAAGAGCCTAAACAACATAGCAGAGAAGCTGCCTGCACAAGTTTCCGCAGCACCTTTTTACTTCCTTGCTATCAGTTCCGCTTCCGAGCCAGAACAGGTATACGCAGCGGGGCAGTGTCGGGAGGACACTTCTCCTGCAGTTTGCAAGATCTGCATCCTTCAGGCGTTTCAGGGTTTAGGAGCGCGGTGCCGCTTTAGGAAGGTTGCGGCTATAGTCTATGATAGGTGTAGCCTATGGATCTCAGATAGGGAATTTGTAGATCTGAATTTCAACAACATTTCTTTCTTGAGGTACAACACATCTAGAGCTCCAGTTGAGAGTGAGGCCCTCGGAAAGATTGTTGCTGGGCTAGTGTGGGCAGTGTCAGCGGAGACAGCGAAGTCAGCGTCCCACTTTGCTATGGCCCAGCAACAGATTATTGGCGCAAATGGGTCCACTTTGTATGCCTTTGCACAATGCATACCAAGTGTGACAAGGAGCGACTGTAGAGTTTGCCTGGACAATTTGATCAGTGAAAATATTTTTCTTCCGACGTCAGTAGGAGGGGAAAGCTCTGGGTTGTGGTGCCAGTTCCGGTGGGAGCTGTATCCGTTCGTCACTGGGATGACTCCTACGCCAGCAGATGGTAAGCTAGCTATGGAACAGGCTAAAAAAATCTTTCATAACGGTTTCCATTTGATGACTAACTTCATGGCAATCCATTGCAGGAAAGCATGGATCTAGTTCTGAACATCAGTGGAAACGAAACTTTGTTATACTGTCTGCAGTAGGTTCTGCGGTGCTTGCTATACTGATTGTTTCAGCTATAGTATTGTCAGTGCAATGGTGGAGGAACAAGAGACTACAGAGACATAGCTCGACGACGACACCTGCAGGTGAGTTCTGTAAGAAACAAGATTGTTCTGCTCTGTTCGATTACCTATGATTATATATATAAGCTAATTGGTCCTGAATTAGGCGAAAGGCTCGAATGCGTAGAGACCACATCTTTAGAAAAGAAGTGCCTGGAGACTGGAGAAGGATCTAGCAAGGTAACCTTGTATACATACAAACCGCATATATTAAGGAAAATATCTAAACTATCTATAATTAATATATAGACTGAGTGAATACCAAAACAAAGTGAATAATGATTTGAACTTGCATTCAGTTTCCTTGTTCCTGATGATTCCTGCTGTTTCCCTTGAAAAATACTGGAACAGGTACCGGAGTCCTCTGAGCCAGTGGAAGAACCCATGGGAGATGCCTGTTCCAGAATGGATCTAAGTGCCATCCATCAAATCCTAGTTACAAGACATTATAGAGATGATGAAGGGAGCACTGAGGTAAAATAAATGAGTGCATGCATTTCCAATCTTTCTGCTGTCTTTGTAGGATTGTGAAATTGGCATTGTTCTCCATTCTGCAGCTATCTTTTGAAGGATGGACACAGCAGGCGAGGGATGTGTTGGGTGCAAGGAAACGTGGAGACTCTGCCTTCGAATGCAAAAGATTTAGGATCGCCATCAATTGTTACAGTCAGGTATATCACTCAAATGTTACTATAGCTGTAGAGACCGGGATAATTTAATTTGTTTTGTTCCATGTAGCTATGTAGCTGATTCTTGTTTCCCTGTGTTTGTTTCATAGTTTGTCGATGCGGGGACAGTGGTGTCACCGACTGTATTCGCCAGGCGAAGCTTGTGCTACCTTATGTGTGACAAACCTGAGGCTGCCCTCCGTGATGCAATGCTAGCAGAAACCATCTACCCTGATTGGCCGATAGCATTCTACATGCAGTCAGTTGCATTATCCAAGATGAACATGCAGAGTGACGCTGTGGACATGCTGAACGAGGCATCACAGCTAGAAGAGATGAGGAGGCAAAAGAGGGCAGAAGTTTCTTGAATGACATCGATTGTCAGCTCAGACAGGTGGCATACATGACTTTCATATATACGTAACAAAGAAGATCTGCAGTCCACTACCACCGGAATCAGGCGATTTGCCGAGTGCAGCACTCGGCAAAGAGCCTCCGGCAAAAAAACCATCGACAAAGAATTTTTTGCTGAGTGCTTTTATCGGGCACTCGGTAAAGTCTTTGCCGAGTGCCCGACACTCAGCAAAGTTGGAACCGAAAAAAAACCCGAAAATAATGGGAAAAAATGGAAAAAAATGGAAAAAAAAAAATTAATAGATGGAGGCCCCCACCGGCCAGCGCCCGCCCATCTCTGGCATTTTTCTCGTAAATTTCACAGCAACGCGGCCGACGGGATTCAAACACGCGACCTCCCGCTGCGCGCGAACCTCCTCTACTACTACACCACACTGTCACTTGTGTCTGGATTCCGTTTTAGTTCCCAACATATTATACTAAACCGAGTGTAAATTACTTGTTTGAGGCCCTAAACGAATTCAAATAAAAAAGTTATAAACTACAAAGTTTCATAACTTTTCGAGATCTACACTTTTAGTTTAGGAAGTTTTTCCATCCGAGGTCGTTTACAAAATTTGAATTTCAAAATTTTGAAATTCAAACGCAGTTTTGCATGACAAGATGATTTCAAATCAAAACGTTGCCAACTACAATGTTTCATAACTTTTCGAGATCTACATAGTTTATTTTGATTTTTTTCCATCCGAGATCGTTTGAAAAGTTCTAATTTTAAATTTTTAAAATTCAAACACAGTTTTGCATGACAAGATGATTTCAAATCAAAAAGTTGCCAACTACAATGTTTCATAACTTTTCAAGATCTACAGAGTTTATTTTGATTGTTTTTCCATCCGAGGTCGTTTGAAAAGTTTGAATTTTAAATTTTTAAAATTCAAACACAGTTTTGCATGACAAGATAGATTTCAAATTAAAAAGTTGTCAATTACAAAGTTTCATAATTTTTCGAGATATACAAAGTTTATTTTGGTTGTTTAGTCATCTGTTCATCCGACATGGTCGTTCTAACATTATTCACAAATCTTATATATCTCTCTTGTAGTTTCATAAACTACAAGAGAGATATGTTAGATTTGTGAATAAAT